CTCTACCACTTGAGCCACAGCGCCACTTCTGGCTTTTTTCTTTTTGCTTATGTGGTGCTGAGGAATCGAACCCAGAGCCTCAGGCATGCAAGGCACGCGCTCTACCACTGAGCCACCTTCCCAGCCCTGTCTCCCCTCTTTTCTTCCAGGGGTCAGTTTGCAACCTGTTTCCCCTCCCCCTGCTTAGTACTGCAGGGACTTTGCTCTTGGACTTTGAAGAGTGGAGGTCATTGTGGCTGGCCTATCTTGAGACCTTGGCTGTGTCTCTGTGTTCCTGGCTTCAGCCCGGACCTCTCCCCCCCTCCCTCTCTCCTCTAGACCTGAGCATGCAGAGTTCCGAGGGTGGATCCGATTCGCCAGCATCCGTAGCCTTGCGCCCAGCGGCAGCTGCCCAGCCTGTGCCAGCGTCCCCACAGGTAACCCTGCTCTCATCCTTGCTCTGTGACACAGCCCCTCACCAGAGGGCATGCGCACACCAGCGTGTGCCGACAGCGCATGTACAACATGGGGGTGGCAGGTGTCCTGGCAAGGCTGGCCATAGTGAGCCACGTGTGTGTCTGTCTGTCCATCCGTCTGTCTGCAGCGCTCCTCTGTCAGCTCTGGGTCTCCCTAAGGCAGTCATGTGTAGGTGGAGTGTGCCCAGTGCAGTGCCAACCTCTGCAAGTCTAACTGTGCGTCCTTCCTTCCAGAGGGTACTGGTCCAGGCCGTGGGCTCAGCGCCCAAGGGCGCCCCGATGCAGCCCCTCACCCTGCCCAGAGTTCAGCTCGTGCCGCAGCAGGTAACCACAGCACCTCCTCCCTAGCGCTCTGCCCTTGTTATCCCAGAATGTTCTGGAACGTTTTCATCATTGACTGCAGATAGTTGTGCTGCATGCCCCAAAAGACCTTGGGGTTGCTCCCTCAGTGGGGGCAGCCGAGGGGAGCTGGAAAGCCAGACTGCATTGTGTGGGTTCACCTGCCGGGTCCCCACACACCACAGGTGGTCAGTGGGGTCACCCAGGGCTCTCCAGCCCACAGCTGATCCTGTCAAGAAAAGGCCAGAATTGCCTTCGTGGGCCTCAGTGGCTGGACACAAATGCTGAGCCAAAGTGGCTATAATGAATGACACATAAGGAAGAGGTGTGGCTGTGCCAATAAAACTTTATTTACAAAACACGGGTTGAGCTAGATTCAGCTCCCCAGGTGGTCTGTCAGGTTTCCGTTCCAGAGCCCATTGGTAGGCCATTGGTGTTCCCAGGTGTCTGAGACCTTGGGACTGGCACAAGTAGAGCCTTGCAGACCCTGAAGGAAACAGGCTCCCAGCAGGCCCATCGAGGCAGGCCCATTGAGGTCTCCAGGAGTGGACTCATCTCTGCCAAGGCCCCTCCCCACAGACGCCATGGACCCGTATGTGATACTAGGAGTTTCCCTGCACCCTCTCACCCCTGCTTCCGCCATCCTGCCCTCACCAGCACAGATTAAGGGTGCCAACCTCACGTCCCTGGGCATGACAGCAGAAGCCAGCCAGGGCTCACCTCAGCAAAACGGGGGGTCCAGACAGCTGTCTGCCTCCAGGCCTGCTGGGATATGGCATTTTTAATTTTGTTTGTAAACTCAGGGCTGTGCATTTGCCAGGCTGCTCCTCTCTTACTTGAGCCATGCCCCCTGCCCCTATCTCTTTATAGTTACTTTCCAAACAGGTTCTTGCATTTGGGGCCAGGGGCATGGTCCTCCTGTCTCAGCCGCTTGCGAAGCTGGGCGGGCAGGTGAACCACTGTGCTCAAGTTATTGATTGGAAAGGGGTCTGACTTCTTTCCCTGGCCGGTCCTTCCACTCTCCACTTTCCCTGGGGTGACAGATGTGAGCCATCACACCTGGTGGAAAATGGCATCTTCCCATGGCTGCCTTCCCTGGGTCTTCTTCCTTAGTGGGCTGGGGAAGGGGTGGAGGGATGGAGCTGGATGGCTGGGTTTGCAAAAGCCAGCAGGGGGTGTTTCTGCCTGGTGATGTAGGACTGACGAGCAGCCCCTCTGTGCCCACCATGTCCTTGCAGGTGCAGCACGTGTACCCGGCGCAGGTGCAGTACGTGGAAGGGGGGGACGCCGTCTACACCAATGGAGCCATGTATGTGTTCCCTGGGCCTCCTCCCCACAGAGCCCTCCCCTGCCACAGCCCGTGGGGCTCCGCCTCAGGCCTTCCCACTTCCCGCTTCCCCTGCCTCCACACAGCCTCCATGCAGCTGCCAGAACCCATCTCCTACAGGATTTCTAGAATTTTCTGGGTCTTATTTTGTTTGGATTTTAGACAGTCTCACTGTGTAGCCTGGGCCTGGAATTGCAATCCTGCTTCAGCCCCCAATGGCTAGAATTATACCACCACACCCAGCTTAAGGACTTCTAGAATGTTCTACTCTGTGGAGAAAATGATGTATACCTATGCAGCTTTTGTGGCTTGAGGTCCGAGGCCCTTGGCTCACCCATTGGCTTGCGTTTTGATATCTTGCTCATCCGTTTGGAATTGGGGTGTGTGCACACATAGGCATATACGCGCACGTGTGTCCAGTTCTGTGCATTTCTTCCCTTACGTAGATTGCTGCTGCCATGACAGACCTGTATCTGTCATCACCTCACGCGCCGCAAGCACGCATGCACGCACGCATGCGTGTAGGCACGCAGCTGCTCAGACTCTCCCCCGGTTGCTTTCTGTGGGTCAGCCTGTGGCCCCAGATGTCTTCAGCAGCTGGCATTGAACTTGGCCCATGTCTGGGGCAAAGCTCCACAGTGACTTCTCTCTTTCCTATAGACGAACAGCCTATGCCTACAACCCCGAGCCTCAGATGTACGCCCCCAGCAGCGCAGCTTCTTATTTTGAGGCCCCAGGTGGTGCCCAGGTGACGGTGGCAGCCTCGTCCCCACCAGCTGTCCCCTCCCACAGCATGGTGGGCATCACCATGGATGTTGGGGGGAGCCCCATTGTGTCCAGCGCGGGAGCCTACCTCATCCACGGGGGGATGGACGGCACAAGACACTCCCTGGCCCACACTGCCCGGTCCTCGCCAGCCACGGTATGTACAAAGGCCCTGGGGCCACATGGGTAGAACCATGCTAGACTTACAGCAGCAATAGGCTGGTGAGTCGGAGGCCACCTTGGATCGGAGTCCTGCCTGGGATCCGAGGCACAAGCGCCAGACTCCTAGCCTCAGTTTGCCTTGATGAAAAGAGATTACCTTAGTACCTCTAATCACTGTGGTGTCATCATCACTACCCTTGTCCTGGAGATGGCAGCCCGTCCACCTGTGGGAAGACTAGCCTGAGTCAGACCAGAGGGCAGGGCCTTCCAGAACAAGCTGCACGATTTCTGCCCTGCCCTGCCCTGCCCTGCTCGGGTCGAGTTGTGTTTGAGCAATGCACACAGGAGTGAACTTGACCTCTTAAGTGTGCAGCCTCCTGTAACCCCTTGTCATCGATCGATCGATCAATCTGCACATGGCACAGCACCCTGCAGGCATTGGGACCTCCCCTTGGCCAGCCCCACACTGCTGACCATTTGTTGTGGGTCACCATAGTGGGTCTGGCTTGTGCCTGTCACCCGCAGAATCCTTGGGAGCTGGCTCCTTTGCCCTGTGGTGCCCATGGGATTCCATCACTCGATGGCAGGAACCTGGAGTTGGTTCTGCTTGCCCCTGAATACTATTCCATACCCAGCAACCTGTGTGCCAGCCCAGCCCAGCCCACAGACACTGGCCACGGACACTGCCCTCCTCGGGGGCTGGCTGCCATGGCGCGTGTCTGACTCTCTGAATCCAGCAGAGCCACGGCCCCTGCTGCCGCCTTTCCTCACCAGCAGTAGGTATTATTGACCTTTTATTTAGTTCCTGCTGACAGGTGTGGCGGGACCCTCACTGTCACTCAGCTCTGCGTGCTGTCCACCCTCATGCAGGACCGATGCTCTGAAATGCATGTGCATTTTGTAGATGTGCTGCGGTGGTAGGCAGAGGAGGCTGTGTGCTTACCTTTAACAGGGTCAATCGTTTTCTTACAGTTAGAGAGTAATTAAGAAGTCTTTTTTTTTTTTTTAATGTCTGTCCTGGGGTTTGAATTCAGGGCCTGGGTGCTGTCCTTGAGTTGCTGTTGTTGTTTGAGAAAGGCTAGACCTCTACCACTTGAGCCACAGCTCCATTTCTGCTTTTTATTGTTTTTGTTTCTTGGAGATAAAAGTCTCATCAATTTTCCTTCCTCAGCTGGCTTTTGAATTGCTTTCCTCAGATCTCAGCCTCCTGAGTGGCTGGGATTACAGGTGTGAACCACTGGTGCCCAGCTTGAGAAGTCTTTATCCTGTATACTATACGCTGATGGATGAGAGATCTGCAGACATTTGTGTCTTTGCATTTTCTGACTTTTTTTTGTCAGTCGTGGGCTTGAACTCTGGGCCTGGGCACTATCTCTGAACTCTTCAGCTCAAGGCTAGTGCTCTACCACTTGAGCCACAGAGCCACTTCTAGTTTTCTGGTGGTTAATTGGAGATAAGAGTCTCATGGACATTTTTACCTGGGCTGGCTTTGAACTGCGATCCTCAGATCTCATCCTCCTAAGTAGCTAGAATTATAAGCATGAGCCACTGGCATCCAGCTTCTCTGACTTTTGATGTGATTTCTTGAACTCTGAACATCTGCATGTTGTCAGGATTTTCTGCTGTTGTCTCTGAAAAGCTTGTAGCTCTACATTTTGCACTTTATCTGCTTTTTATATGATGAACAGCAAACATTATTACTATTTTTTTTTTTGCTATGGAACTCAGTTGTTGGGGCCTCATTTGCTTAAACACAAACAAGAAACCTGTATTTTGTCCAGCATGAACGGATCTGGGTGAGGGAATCCTGCTGACCCATTTCTGTTTTTTGCTTGTGGCATATAGTGTAAACTCAAGCTTTATAGAACTTGAGCTAGATCAAATGCTTCCTCCCAGTTTACTCTTCAGAACTGTACTGGGTATTCTCAGAAATGTAAAGTTTCTCTATGAGCTTTAGATCAACTTGTATCTGCCAAAAAAAAAGCCTCATTCTGGGATTTTGACTGAATTGCCTTCACTCTGCAGGTCAGTCTGTGGAGAACTGACATTTCTATTATGTTGTTGCCAGTCCATGAACATGGTATGCTTTCTTGGAGTGTTGACATCACCTTTGGTTTCATTTGTCAGGAGGCTGTCCCTTTCCACAGGTCCTGGACATGTTCTGTTGTATTTCTTCCTGGGCATCTCTTCGTTTTTGAACCATTGTAATGGAATTGGATTTGTACTTCAGTCTCTAGCTGCTTTGTGGTAGGACCTAAATGTACTGTGGATGTGTGTCAGCCTCCCATGCTGCAGCCTTCCTGATTGCACTTTTTACAGCCCATTATCTGCAGCTGGAGCAGCTTTGCCCCTTCCTTTTTCTTTCTCATCTTGCTATGGTGGGCTTCCGGCATGGCAGTGAGTGGGTGCTGAGGGGGTGGGTGTCCTGGCCTCACCCAGAGTCCCCAGTGGAGGAGGCGCCTCTGCCTCTCTGTTCTCCTGTCTTTTTTTTTTTTGTCGGTCGTGGGGCTTGAACTCTGGGCCTGGGTGCTGTCCCTCAGCTCTTTAGCTCAAGGCGAGCGCTTTACCACTTGAGCTACAGCGCTACTTCCGGTTTTCTGGTGGTTTATTGGAGATAGGAGTCTCCGGGCTGGCTTTGAACCGCAATCCTCAGCTCTCAGCCTCCTGAGTAGCTAGGATTACAGGCGTGAGCCAGCAGCACCCGGCTCCTGTCTTTTTCATGAACAGATGTTTCATTTGCCAAGCTTTTCCTCAGGAATACAATGGCATGTGAATAGCACAAACTACATTGATGGTCTCACTTAGATGACCTCTTCTCACATGGACCAAGGCTAACCTGAACTAGGAGGGGACAGTTGAGCATTGTGTCTATTCCTTGGTCATCAGAAGAATGACATCAGAGAGAACTCTTGAGTCTTGCTCCTCTCTCTCTCTCTCTCTTTCTCTCTCTCATTAGTCATGGGGATAATCTGGGTCTGGGCACTGTCCCTCAGCTCTTCAGCTCAAGGCGAGCACTCTACCACTTGAGCCACAGCACCACTTCCAGTTTTCTGAGTGGTTTATTGGAGATAAGAGTCTCACAAACTTTCCTGCCCAGGTTGGCTTTGAACTGTGATCCTCAGACCTCGGCCTTCTGAGTAGCTAGGATTACAGGTGTGAGCCACGGGCTCCTGGCTTGCTCTTCTCTCTTATGCAATGTCCAGTCACTCAGGCACCCAGCTTTGTGGACAGGCATTGAGACCTGTCTCCTGGGGAGAAGTGCCCTGCTTTTTTGAGAGGTGATGTATGAGGCAGTGCTGTGGCTCTGTCCAAGGTGTGCTTAGTCCCAGCAGAGGCCACCCGCAGTGCACACCATTGTTGAACACGCCTCCTCCAAGGCTGACTTGCTTTCCTGCACACAGCAGGTTGGCTTCTTCCCAGGACAGTGACTTCACAGGGTCAGGTACCCAGGAGTGACTGAGGAGCAGACCTGTGTCCTAGGCCTGCCTGTGAACTTGCTGCTCAGACACTGAGCTGCCCGTGACTGTACTGGGAAGGAAGAATGGAACAGTTCGGTCCATTTAGAACCAACACTGCACTGGGTCTCCTCCCCCGCCGAGCTCAGTGCGCAGCTGAGCCCAATGCCGACTTCCACAGCCTCCAAGGGTGTTCAGTTCTGCTGTCATCACAATTGTTTTTTCTAGTCCTGGGGCTTGAACTCTGGGCCTGGGCACTGTCCTTGAGCTCCTTTTGCTCAACACAAGCGCTCTACCATATGAGCCACAGCACTACTTCTGTCTGGCTTTTTTTGGGAGTTTACTGGAGATAAAAGTCTCACGGACTTTCCTGCCTGGGCTGGCTTTGAATTGTGATCCTCAGATCTCAGCCTCCTGAGTAGCTAGGATGACAGGCGTGAGCCACTGGAGCCCGGCTCATCACAACTACTAAGCAAGCCTCTTTTGTTTTCCTTTTGGCAGTACTTGGATTTGAACCCCAGGCCTCACAGTTGTTAGTCAGACACTGCCACTTGACCCACACCTTGGCAGCTCACTGAGAACACTATGTTAGGAAATCTAGTGCCTCCTTTCCAGTGTGGAAGTCCCCTAAGGCCAGGGACAGTGGAGAGAGCTCACCATTCTGTGGCAGGTGTGGCTCAGGACTGCCAGGTTCCAGCTCTCCTGACGCACTGAGACATACCCTGTGACATCATGGCGCACGCTTGCCAGGGTCGTCAGAAACGGAGCCCTGTGCTGGAAACAGCCGAGTGCCAGGCCCTCCTGCACTCACACACACCAGGACAGGGCACATGGCAAATGGAGCTGTGTCTCAAGTGGTAGAGCGTTAGTCTTGAGCCCAAAAGCTGAGGGGCGGTGCCCAGGCCCAGAGTTCAAGCCCCAGGACTGGCAAAAAAAAAAAAGAACCCCACAAACAACAACAACTAAAATTGTTGCACCTGATGAACAGGAGACACGAAGCAGCTGATACAGGAAATAAATGCAAACATACATGTGTAATGCTGAAGTGTGGGGAGACCACCCGGGATGGAAACAGGGCATGTAACATTGTGCAAAAGACAATTTCAAATAAAAAAATGTAACTCCAGTCCAATAGACAAATTCAAACGTGAGGCATCTTTAAATGTGAAGCACTAACCCGACCCATGAAGGCCCTTTGCATTAGAACAGAGAGAAATCAAGTTGGGAGACTCAGCCCCAGGCTCGGGAGATGGCTCTGCAGCGCCCTCTGCTGGGAACACCTGGGCACTGTGCCTCCAGCCAGACTCCGGGGCCTGGGGAGGGAGAGCGCCTTGGTGCTTTCCATATGCCCTCTTGTCCATGAGGAATCGTGAAAGCACTGGAGGTGTGGCTCTAGTGGCAGAGCACCTTCCTCAAAAGCAAATGACCCTCAGTTCACTGTGGATCAAATTCACTTTCTGCAGTGAACTTGGACAGCCCTGCTGGAACCAATAACCATGGGTTCCTGAAGAGGATACAGATACCAACTGAGTTGTATATTCTTTGTCATGCCCGTCCTCACTCAGTGCCTTTCCAGGGCTCCACAGGGTCTTAAGGGCATTTTCCAAACAGCTCGGAGCCGGTGTTGGTAATCGTGTCACTGAACAGAGTGGAGGTGGTGGGGAGAGCCTTCCCCCTGCGCAGACCAGGCAGAGGAGAGGGGACCCCAGGACAACACCAGCGTTCACTGAGAACTCTCCCAGCCAGATGCCTGTCATCCCAGCCCTTGGAAACGGAGGCGGGAAGATCAGGAGTGCTATTATCAGCCTGAGTTCTATAAGGAGACCCTGTCAGAAAGGAAGTGGGGAAGACCCACACTGGTGGCTCACGCCTATAATCCTAGCTGCTCAGGAGGCTGAGAGCCAGAGGATCATGGCTCAAAATCAGCAAGAAAGGCATGAGACGCTTATCTCCAATTAACTACCAAAAAGCTGGAAGTAGAGCTGTGGCTCAAGTGGTAGAGTGCCAGCCTTGCGTGCAAAGGCTCAGGGACAGCACCTAGGCCCTGTGTTCAAGCCTCAGAACCAGCACAAATAAAAAAGAAGCGGGGAGAGGGAGGGAAGGAGGCATGCAGGCAAAAAGCAACATATCTCAGCGAAAGTGGCTGATGGTGTGGTTTAAGTGTTTAAATACCTGCTTAGCAAGTATGAGGCCCTGAGTTCAAACACCAATACCACTGAGAGAGACAGAGACAGAGACAGGAACGTTGTAACGTTCAGTGCACCGGCAGTGTTGTTCCCCGTGGCCCGCCCTCCCCTCCCTGTAGTCTGACCTCTGACTCCGTGGATTTGCCTGGGCCCTCGAAAGGACCCCACGCATGGTGGGATCATCTGTGTCTGGCATCTTTCACGAGCACCGTGTTTTCAAGGTACACTCAAGCTAAGACCTCAGGCATAACGGCACTGTTTTGGCAGCTAAATTCTTGCCCCGTCTGGGTGAGCTGCATGGACGTGTTGATTGACAGGTGGGGATTCCCTCACCCTCAGACCTGCAGGGGTTCTGATGAGAAATTAGCTGTTAGTCGCATTGGGATCCTGCGTCCACTAAGTCCCCTCCCCTGACTCCTTCATAGCTCCCTCCCTCTCCCTGTCTCTGTGGGTTTCCTTGTGCGCGTACTTGTGTGAGCGCTGTTGAGATTTTGGGATGTGTAGGTTCATGTCTTTCATCCTATCTGGGCAGTTTTCATCCTTTCTACATCAAGCAGCCTCCTTGCTGGAAGTCTCCATGTCTGATAAGACGCGATTCTTCTGCCATCGGGCCCTCCACGGTGACTTCCCTCCTGTGACGTAATCAACCAGTGGCTCTCAGCTCTGCGTCCCAAGTTCCATGTCTCGGCCTCCCTCCGCTGCCTCTCGCTTGCCTCCTTTGTGTCTGTGTATCTGCCTGGTCCCAGGTCATTCCTCTATGGAAAACCACCTGTCCTCAGAACTGGAAGGAGTCCCCCCCACCCTGAGTCATTACTGCCTCAGCCTCCCTCTAGTCACGCAGTCGCTGGCCTTGCCCAGCTCCATTTTTCAGTGTGTCTCCGCAAGCTGCCGTCTGGGCTGCTGCTTGGTTGTCAGAAGGTGTGGTCTCTGGTCAGCAGAGCTTACATGCAGTCGTACCAAGTGGCCTGCCGGCCCGCCCCTGCGTGAGGCCCGGTGCTGCCCTGCCTCTCCACCATCCATGCCCTGGAGGCCTTGCTCGGGCTGGTGCTTTCGGCCTCGCTGCGTCTTCATGGGGGTGGGGGTGGTAGTGTTGGGTTTGGACCAGGCTTCTCAATGGACAGGCAGGTGCTCCACCACCTCAGCCACTCCTCCGGCCCCTTTTCGCTTGGTTATTTTCATGTAGGGTCTCAATGCCCAGGCCGGCCTGGGCTGTGGTCATCCAACGCGGGCCTCCCGCATCACTGTGGATGACAGGCTGCACCCCCACACCCAGCCATCAGTCAGGAGTCTCAGGGACCCCTGTGCCCCCCTGCTTCCTTCCCCCCCTTCCCCCCCCCCCGCCCCTGAAGCTAGTAGCACCCACTTGACCCTCTCACCTAGCTCAGCTGAGCTTTAAGGTACTAGCAGCCATTATGTGTTGATGCGTCAAGTGAAAACATCCACAGAGAACTGAACCAGGCCCTGGCCTTTCCCAGCTGGGCAGCCTGGGTTTCCACATAACAGACTGACACACAGGAGCAGCTCCGGGCTGACTGCCGCTAAGCAGCCTGGGAGCCTGGGAAATGGGGTGTTCCACCCTGCCCATTGCTACATTGCTAATCTTCACCTGCAAAGGTTCACTGTTGAAAGTGGGTAATGGTAATGATCATTTTTCCAGTGTAGGAAATACTGCTAGATTCTCTCTCTCTCTCTCTCTCTCTCTCTCTCTCACCTTCCCTCCCTCCCTCCTCCCCTCTTTTTCTCTCCCTTTCCTTTCTCCCTCTCTCTCTCTTTGGGGCTTGAATATAGAATTCAGGGCCTGAGTGCTATCCCTGAGGTTTTTGGGCTCAAGGTTAGCCACTTGAGCCACAGATCCCCTTCTGATTTTCTAGTGGATCACTGGAGATAAGAGTCTCATGGACTTTCCTGCACGGGCTGGCTTTGAACTGTGATCCTCAGATCTCAGCTTCCTGCGTAGCTAGGATTGTAGGCATGAGCCACCAGCGTGCAGCAAATCTAACTCTTAAACACACAAGCCCTATAGAAGCCTGTTGTAAGCAAATTAAAACACACACACACACACACACACACACACAGCAATAGTATGAAGGAGCCACTAGAGGGAACGTGGAGAAGGTAGTGAGGGAGAGGCGGGGGGGGGGCCCTCGGGGACCAGCCAGCCACTCACACTGTCTCTGCCCCGGGCAGGCAAGCTCCCTCCCGCCTGCTGACACCTTGGTGTGCCCTCCTCCACCACTGCCGGCAGCTCCACTCCACCGGGCCTGGCCCACATGCAACTCATGGTCCTGCCCCGGCCCCAGGAACATCTGTTTCTCTTATTTTGGGGGGCTTGCTAGGTAGCCCAAGCTGGCCTGAACTCAGTGATCCTCCTGCCCCGCCTCCTGTATGCTGGGATCACAGGCATGCACTGCCATTCCCAGCTCACATCTTGAAATCTTCGCCCACCTGTGTGTCTTTTTTTTTGGGGGGGGGTCCGGTTGTGGGGCCTGAACTCTGGGCCTGAGCACTGTCCCTCAGCTCTTCAGCTCAAGGCTAGTGCCCTACCACTTGAGCCACAGCGCCACTTCCGGCTTTTTTCTTTTTGCTTATGTGATGCTGGGGAATCGAACCCAGGGCCTCAGGCATGCAAAGCAAGCGCTCTACCACTGAGCCACCTTCCCAGCCCCCTCCTGTGTGTCTTAGGGAAGAAGATGCAGACTTTGCACGTTTGCATGGCTGTCTCTGCCTGTCATGAGAGACTGTGACAGGCTCTAAACGACCATGTCCCAAGCACGAGTCTGGGTCAGTGAACACATGCAGGTGTCTTGGCAGCCATATAGGACTGGGCGCTCCTCTCCTGTGCCCAGACCTGCCACCAAGTCCTCAGCCCCTTCCTCCAGGAAGCCCTCCATGCCTCCCACTGCCTCTTCCCAGGATCCTTCCTGTCTTCTGCCATCCACAGTTCACAAGTGGCTGGGTTGGGGTCTCAGTGATTGTGTGTGGGCCAGGTCTTCAGGCTCCCATGGCCGGGTCTGTGCTTTTCACCTCGGTATTTTCCTGAGTATTTGCCCAAGGTTTTGCACAGGGGAACCTCAATGACCAATATGCTCAGCTTCGGGCACCTGGCTGTCCTGAGCATCACCTAGTGTAGAGCAGAGAGATGCACAGTGCTCAGGCTTTGCGAATGCTAGGGGTTTCCATAGCAACCACAGGTTGGTCTGGTCCTCACACATCCATGCGCATGCCCATTAACCTGTTAAAGTCGCCACACCGAGTCTGCTGGTGGGGCTCGCTTCGGCCTCATGTCCTGGGCGGCTGGCTCTCCTGTGTGTGACACAGCCACCACGCCCAGCCGCGCACGCGTGCTTGCTTCTCAGCGCTCGTCGTGATGTGGATATTAACAACAACCTTGGCTGACGCTAACCATCTGATTTCCTTTTTTCCTTTTCCACTTTCTGTTATGTTGCTGCACACATGTTCTTTAGCTTGAAATGGCGATTGAAAACCTCCAAAAAAGCGAAGGAATCACACCACACAAAAGCGGCTTACTCAACAGCCATGTAAGTGCCCATCTGACCTATGCCCAGCTCACCCAGCCCCGCCCCAGCAAGCGAGAGCCAGCCAGGGCTGAGGGCGTGGCCACGCGTAGTGAAGGACAGAAAGATGTTCCAATCAGCACCAACAAGGGGGGAGAAAACCAACTAGGAGAACTGACGTTCGCTGCAGGAGATTTCATTCCCCTGCCTTGCCTGCCGCTAGTAGGGTGCAGTGACTACAGGAGGCGGTGACTGCCCAGACCCAGGACAGCCATGTGCCTCGTTAGCCCCCACACACCCCCATGTCCCTTCTCTGCACACTGTCCATCCAGCCCTGCCTACACCTGCAATGTGGTGAGCATTTCTCTTTTGTTCTTTTGGACTACCATGTGGTCTGGGCTGGCCTGGAGCTCACAGTGCTCCCGAGTGCTGGGATTACAGGCAGTTGCAACCAGGCCCAGCTAGGGTTGGACGGTTGAACTACTGAAGCTAGAATGTGCTGTAGCAGTTGAGCAGGTCCCAGGTACTCTCCCGAGAGTTCCATCAAAGAGAAAGTGCCCCCATTTGGTTGCACCCCATACCCAGCTGACCCCAAGATCTTGTTGTTGGTCAAGGTTCAAAATAGGGCATTTTTTTGAAAGTCTGTGATGCTAGGAGCAGAAGCCGATCTAGGGAAAAGGTCTAGATATTTGGACTGGGCGCAGATGTGGCCAGCTGCTTGAGACAGCACTTGGTCAGGACCCTAGGAAGCAAAGGAGAAAACAATCCTTTCCCTGGGGATTCAAAGCAAAACTAAGGTCCCCCTTCCCCTGGTACCCAGCCTCTGGGAAGTGGGGTATATCTTGGAGGGATGCAGGGTCGGTGTGTGCCTGGGGGAGAGGGGCCCCCACTCCCACCATCCCCCGCAGTGTGGGAAAGCTCACAGCCTTTGCCTTCCACAAGTCAGCCACCCTGCAGGCCGCAGACATCTGTGGACAAGCCGCTGAGCTAACACCATCTCTGGCCTGCCTCCCTCCTCACCCGCGTTCCCTGCATTGACTGTTCTAGAACTGCGGCGGGGGGGGGGAGTCCTACCTGCTTCTCACTGTTTTTGATCATGGCTTCAGGGCTTGGTGACTCAGAAGCAAAGGAAGGATAGAACTTTCTAGAAAGCGTCATATACACTGGGCAAAATCTAAAGTGGATTTGGTGTTGGCAAATGGGAGTCAGATGAGGAAGAGAGTGTGGCCTGCTAATGGCAGGCTGGCAAGCCCCCCTCCACCGCCCTCGCCCCGCTTTGTGGCCCTGAGACCTTGCCACTTGCCCAGGGCTGGGTGGCACTGCATGGCAGTCAGGGAGGCTGGGGACAGGGCCGCCGGCCACTCCAGGAGCGGGCGATGGACCACACTGTATTCAGATTAGCTCACACTTGTCTTTCAAACTGAGACAGAAATGATCAGCCACCAGCTGGTGGCCTACTGTGAAGGCTGGGCAGTTCCCTGAGGGCCTCAGCCTGCGCTGGCACATGCTGAGCTCCGCTCCCTGTGGTTCTCCACTTCCCCCCTCCTCTCTGGGCGCTTTTGGGGGGCCACTCTTCCACCAGCTCCTTAGGGAGGAGCACCCCTCTTGCTTTGAGCACTTAGCTCCACTTTCCATTCTGTACATTTTATGTCGACTCTGGGGTCTCTGCCATGACAGAGGTCAATTCTGGAAATCAGGAGATTTTGTCTATCTTACTTATAGTTGCCAGCCCCACCTGTGTCAAGGGCTGACACGGGCCAACTCTCATTAAGTGAGGGATAATCGGTGGGTAGATGGATTAGTGGATGGATGGATGGATGGATGGGCAGATAGATGGATGGGTGGGTGGTAGCTGGGTGGTTGGATTAGTGGATGGATGGGTGGGTGGACAGATAGATGGATGAATGGATGGATGGGCAGATAGATGGATGGGTGGGTGGTAGATGGGTAGATGGATTAGTGGATGGATGGATGGGTGGGTCAATGGGTGGATGGATTGGTGGATAGAGGGCAGTGGATGGATGGGTGGATGGATGGGTAGGTGGATGAGCAGGTGGACGGGTATGTGGATGAGTGGGTAGATGGATGGATGGGTGGTAGATGGATGGATGTGTGGATGGATGGTGGATGAGCAGGTGGATGGAAGGATGGAAAGCAAGGTGTCCAAAGTGTGATTGTCAATCCAGAGCAAGCACTGGGGCTCCGAAGAGCTACTGAAGCTGCTAGTGTGCATCTCAGACAGGCTCCCGCCACCACCCGCCAGTCGGGGTAGGCCAGTGTCAGGCAGGTGGTTCTCAGATGCAGCATGAGCCCCGCAAGCCCTGCGGTGATGCCGGGTGGCCAGCGCTGGCCATGTCACTCCAGTGTGTAGCAGGGCATGGTGATGCTGGGTGGATGGTGTGGGTCATTCGCCCTGGTATGTAGCAGGGCACGGTGACACCGGGTGGGTGGCGTTGGCCACGTCCCCAGTGTGTGGCAGGGCACAGGAACTCTTGCCTGTGCAGCGCTTGAAGAGATTCGTCCCCTTCATGTGTCCCATTGCTAAGCAATGCCAGCTTAGAAAGAAGGAGGTCAGGCATGTGGACAGAAGTCATATGTGGGGGCTGGGAAGGTCTCTCACTGGTAAAGTGCTTGCCTTGCATGCATGAGGGCCTGGGTTCGATTCCTCAGCACCACAGAAGCAGAAAAATCTGGAAGTGGTGCTGTGGTTCAAGTGGTAGAGCGCTAGCCTTGAGCTGAAGAGCTGAGGGACAGCGCCCAGGCCCAGGGTTCAGGTCTCACAATTAAAAAAAAGAAGTCATGTGCCCACAGGCTGGGCCACCAGCCAAGATCCCCTGGGAGGGGTAGGGTAGGTGTTACCCCTTAAAAAGGAAGATCTTGAGCCATGAAGAAGTACACCACATGGACCAAGAACATAGATTCTTGGAAACCACATTCTCCGCTGTTATATCTTATGATAACAAACAACACAAATCAGCCCAGTGCTGGTGGCTCACACCTGTAATCCTAGCTAGTAAGGAGGCTGAGATCTGAGGATCACAGTTCAAAGCCAGCCCAGGCAGGAAAATCCTTGAGACTCTGTCTCTTATTGCTAAAAAGTTCAAAGTGAAGGTGTAGCTCAAGTTGGAGAGTACCAGCCTTGAGTGAAAAAGCCAAGTGAGAGCATGAGGCCTTCAGTTCAAGCCCCAGTGTAGAAGGAAGGAAGAAAGGGAAGGAGGGAGGAAGGGAGGGAAGAAGGGAGGGAGGGAGGGAAGAAGGGAGGGAGGAAGGGAGGGAGGGAAGGATAAATCCAAGCAGACATCCCCAAACCTTCTTACATTCTCCATGCAATGGGCCCACACGGATGCATGTCTGCAAGAGACACCACTGGAGACGGGTGCAGAACCGAGGGCTCCCCTCGTGCTGTGGAGCGGCTCTGGGCCAGCTGGGAGTGTAGAGGGCCGGTAGAGTCCTGGCGCTCACACAGCAGTCTGCAGGCAGTAGGATCAGGTTCCTGAGTGAAGCCAGTGTACATGCAGGGGACGGGGGGGCGGGGGAGGGGGCGCAGGATGAGGTTCTCTGACCCAGAGGCCGGTGTCTCTTGCTCAGCTCCAGTGGCTGCTGGACAACTACGAGACGGCGGAGGGTGTGAGCCTGCCGCGGAGCTCCCTGTACAACCACTACCTGCGCCACTGCCAGGAGCACAAGCTGGACCCCGTCAACGCCGCCTCCTTCGGGAAGCTCATCCGCTCCGTCTTCATGGGGCTGCGCACACGCCGCCTGGGCACCAGGTGGGTGATGGCGCCCCACTGCCTCCACCAGAGCCTCCTGGTGGACTCTGAGCTATCCCCACCGGGTGGCAGGCATAGCCATGGCCACGCTGGCTTCTTCAGAAGTCCAGGATGGGACATGGGGTCACCAGCTTCTTGTTGTTCACCCGGAACTACATTCTTACAAGTACTCCTGCCTTGTGGCAGAGCCATAATACAATTTTTTTTTTTTGGTCAGTCCTGGGGTTTGAAATCAGGGCCTGGGCGCTGTCCCTGAGCTTCTTTGGCTCAAGGCTAGGACTCTACCACTTGAGCCACAGCTCCACTTCTGGTTTTCTGCTGGTTTTTATTGGAGGTAAGAGTCTCATGGACTTTCCTGCCCAAGCTAGTTTTGAACCGCAATCCTCAGATCTCAGCCTCCTGAGTAGCTAGGATGACAGGTGTGAGCCACTGATGCCCAGCTAGAATGAACTTTTAAAAATATGAACACTCTTGGGGCTGGGAAGGTGGCTCAGTGGTAGAGCGCTTGCCTTGCATGCATGAGGCCCTGGGTTCGATTCCTCAGTACCACATAAGCAGAAAAAAGCCAGAAGTGGTGCTATTGCTCAAGAGGTAGAGCGCTAGCCTTGAGCTGAAGAGCTGAAGGACAGCGCCCAGGCCCAGAGTTCAGGACCCACGACCAACCAAAAAAAAAAAAAAAAAGAACATTCTCTTGGCTTTTTGTTGTTGTTGTTCCTCAAGGCTGTGCTGTACCACTTGAACAACTTCTAGCTTTTTTTCTGGTTAATTGGAAATAAGAGTTTCACCCAGGCTGGCTTTGAACTGGGATCCTAAGCTCTCTATTCATTACAAGTCCCCAGAGTACACAGACACAAAGCTGGCATAGTGTGTCCCCCTGATTTTCTCTCTGCAGAACTTTGCAAGGTTTTGTTTGGAGTGTGGGGTGGGTGTGGGTGTACATGTGCATGCACGCGCACACACACACACACACACACACAAAGGGTGGTTGTGGGTGTACATGCGCATGCACATGCACGCACACACACACACACACCATGAGGCTTGAACTCAGGGCCTCTCACTGCTTTCTGGCTTTTTTTTTTTCTTTCTCAAGGCTGGTGCTAAGCACTTGAGCCACAGCTCCACTTCCTGTGCTGCACTTGTCAGAGCCTTTATTATACTAAAAGGTGGCACAGGGCTCCGCATGAAGGGCTTTGTGTGCAAAGGTCCCCCGTACACACTTCTCACAGGTTCGGCAAGTGCCAAACACCAAGCCAACACACAGGGCCAGGCGAGGTGGCCTGTCTTGTTCAGGATGCCCGCAGGGAGCCGACCTGCGGTGTTTGCCTTGCAGGGGCAACTCCAAGTACCACTACTGCGGGATCCGGCTGAAGCCCGACTCCCCGCTCAACCGGCTACAGGAGGACACGCAGTACATGGCCATGCGGCAGCAGCCCGTGCACCAGAAGCCCAGGTGGGTGCCTCCCCCGAGTGGGGCCTTCATCAGGTGGCTAGGCTGCATCTTAAAAAAAAAAAATCAGACAGACTGGTGGCTCACACCTGTAATCCCAGCCACCCAGGAAGCTGAGATTTGAAGATCAGGGCTCAAACAAAGCCATCCTGGGCAGGAAAAGTCCATGAGACTCTTGTCCCCAATAAACCAGCAAAAAAAGCCCAAAATGGAGCCATGGCTCAAGTGGTAGAGCACCAGCCTTGAGCCAAAAAGCTCAGGGACAGTGTCCAGGCCCTGAGTTTGAGCCCCAGGACTATCCCCCAAATAATTCTACACACTGTCCTGCTCGGTCTCAGCAAGGTGCATGCATTCCGTGCCCAGGTACCGGCCAGCCCAGAAGACAGACAGCCTGGGGGACAGCAGCTCCCACAGCAGCCTGCACAGCACTCCGGAGCAGGCCATGGCTACCCAGAGCCAGCACCACCAGCAGTACATAGGTGAGCCCTGGCTGCAGGTTAGACACACAGCAGCTTCTAGATGAACCTCCTTCAGGCATCTCTGAGCCTCTAGAATAATCAGCTGTGCCAAAAAATATTAGTGTTTGACTTGTCCATTAGAATAGTGAGGGCTGGGAAGGTGGCTCAGTGGTAGAGTGCTTGCCTAGTATGCATGAAGCCCTAGGTTCGATTCCTCAGTACCACATACACAGAAAAAGCCGGAAGTGGAGCTGTGGCTCAAGTGGTAGAGCACTAGCCTTGAGCCAGAGAAGCTCAGGGACAGTGCCCAGGCCCTGAGTTCAAGCCCCAGAACTTACAAAAAAAAAAAAAAAAGAATAGTGAATCAATGCAGTAAAAAAGAATGGGGAAGCCGGGCACCAGTGGCTCCCACCTGTAATCCTAGCTCCTCAGGAGGCTGAGATCTGAGAACTACAGTTCAAAGCCAGCTCGAGCAGGAAAAAGTCCATGAGACTCTTATCTCCAATAAACCAGCAGAAAAACAGAAATGATGCTGTGGCTCAAGTGGTAGAGTGCTCACCTTGAGCTGAGGAGCTGAGGGACAGTGCCCAAGCCCAGAGTTCAAGCCCCATGTCACACACACACACACATGCACGAAAGGGGAATGGATGTCTTCTGAGGCTGTCAATTGAGAGAGGAGGATGGAGCTCCATCTGGGGTTCTGGGGTTTTCCTCTTCGATGGCCCACGGCATGGAAGCTTTGCCCTGTTTCCTGAGTGCACTCAGGACCAGGTCAAAGGTCAGAGCCTTTCCCCAGCACTGCGCGGGAAGGAGCTGCTGGCAGGTGCTCCTCAGGTGCTTGACAGCAACATGTGTTCTGTTTTTGTTATTTTTGTGCCCATCCTGGGCCTTGAACTCAGGGCCTGGGTGCTGAGCTGCTTTCTGCTCAAGGCTAGTGCTCTACCACTTGAGCCACAGCACCACTTCCAGCTTTTTGGTAGTTAATTGGAGATAAGAGTTTCATGGACATTTTATGCATTTGAACTGTGGTCGTTGTGAGGAGCTAAGATTACAGGCGTAAGCCACCAGCACCTGACTATGTCTGGGCAGGACCCACTGGGCTCTGGCTTTCTGGAGAGATGGAGACAGTACCAGGCCTGTCTCTAGGCAATCACTGTGGGGACAGGGAGGCTGGCTTTTCCCCAGCACGCTGCCCTGGGCCAGCTCTGCCACACAGGGCCCTGCTGAGGAGTCAGGAGGGTCTGCGGGGTGCCAGGCCTGTGCTAGCCTCTGGCTGTGTCTATGTCCACACGTTTGCCATCCCTGGAAGGTGGTGACATTGTCCCTGTTGTATAAAAGATGTCCTGTGCCTGCGGGGGCCAGGGCTGCCCCAGCGTTGCCCGTGTCCCTCCCCAGATGTGTCCCACGTGTTCCCGGAGTTCCCAGTGCCTGACCTGGATGGCGAGCCGCTCCAGGGGAGTGTCACACCGCGAGACATCAAGGCCCTGCAGCTGGTGTACCGACGGCACTGTGAGGTGACTGCAAGCTCCTCCCACGTGTCTGCTGTCCTCAGGCCGCAGAGGAGGGGGGGGGAGGTCCCCCTCATACCCACACCCGCCACCTTCCTGCTGTCTCCAGCTGCTCCCCGGGCACAGGGGAGACAGGAGCGTGTCCACCCACAGACAGCCCCTCGTCTCTCTGGGGACTTGAGAAGATATGCTTTGTGCCCAGACGTCACATATGACCCCGTTTTTCCTCCCAGGCCACCCTGGATGTTGTCATGAACCTCCAGTTCCACTACATTGAGAAACTGTGGCTGTCCTTCTGGAACTCCAAGGCTTCCCCCAGCGATGGCCCCACCACCCTCCCTGCCAGGTGACAGCCACCAATGTGCCACGCAGGCCCACGTGGCGGCCACCCCACCAGCCTGCCCACCCCACAGTCCTCAGGTCCTGGGACTCCTGTGCTTCAGCTCCTTGTGTTCTCAGGGTCCTGCATGACTTGGGAGGCACCATGCCTTTCGCCCCTCTTCCAAGGTTTTGGCTTTTGTTTGGCTTTGGAGCTGGCCTTGATGGTGTCTCAATAATATGGCTCAGGCTGGCTTAGAACTCAGATTCCTCAACCTACTGAGTGCTGGGGATGACAGGAGTGACCATAGCTGGCTCCAATCAGAATTTCTTGTTTCTGTCTTTACCTCATGTGGACGTGAGTTCAAGCTCAGAGCCTGGTGCTTTGATAAGCTGGTGCTCTCCCATGCTTACAGCCCTTTTTGGTTTAGTTATTTTTTCAGACAGGACCTTATCTTTTTGCCTCGAGCTGCCTTGGACTTTGATTCTCCTATGTATACCTCCCACATACCTTGGTTGGCAGCCTCACCATGCACAGCTTATTGGTTGAGTAAAGAGTCTCACAGACTTTCCTGTCCTAGCTGGCTTCAAACCACGATCCTTAGATCTCAGCCTCCTGAGGAACTAGGATAACAAACCACTACTGGTGCCCAGCTCAAATCGCTTTTAATGGAGGATCTTAGAGGTGGCTGTGTGTCATCCCAAGTAGAGTGCTCTTGACGGGTCACCACAGCCTCAGCATGGGAGGCCTGGACCCCCCAGCTCATGGCCACTGCTGTCTCCCCTCTGCCCACAGTGACGACGAGGCCGACAGCGCCGCCGTGCTCCCTAAGGACAAGCTCATCTCGCTGTGCAAGTGCGACCCCATCCTCAAGTGGATGCGGGGCTGTGACCACATCCTCTACCAGGCCCTGGTGGAGGTCCTCATCCCTGACGTGCTGCGGCCCGTCCCCAGTAAGAGGCCCTGCCACCCTGCCTTCCTGCCCCTTGCCCCTTCCTGACTGCCCACGTGCTTGAAGTCCACGTGGCAGCCCTGGGCCTAGGAACGTGCCCTTGCTTCTGATTCAAGGTGACCATCCAAGTGAATGGCCCTCCTGAGTTCTGCCAAGATAGGGCCAGACATGGTGCTTTCTGGAAGGCTCCTGGAAGGTGGGCAGGTGGCATCTGGAGTAGCCTGGCTACGACCCTAGCCACTGCCATGGGCAGCCACTGTCAGGGCCATGTAAAGTTGTCAATACCCCATCCCAAGGCTGGGCCAGCACCTGCTGCCCCTGACCCTTGGTAGCACTGGGGGGGCACTTCCTGTGCCAAAAAGGACTGGCCAGGGTCACAGCTGCTGCATCTGGTAGAGCCGGGGCCACCCCAGACCCTGCCCCTGCCCCATGGGCAGCAACCAGCGCTGCCCAACGGGGTTTCAGGAGACCCTCGTGTCTGTGCTTGTGTCTCTGCCCTGTGAGACCCCATGGATGCCAGTAGTGGTGGAGTACAGAAACCAGTGTCTCCAGGGCTGACCTGTTCCCCGAGTGTCCTGGGGCCTCTGCCCTGACAGTGATGACTACAGATAGCTGGACCTGGCACCAGGCTAGGCCCTCATTTTCCCAGGGAGGGTGAGGAAGCCACACCAAGGTTGATACTGCCGCCGCCGCTGCCTGGCCTGTGGGTTATGCCTGCAGCTGGCCAGGAGAGAGCTGGGCTACTTCGTCTCTCTGCATAGCCCAGGCTGGTCTGGATCTTGCCATCTGCCTGTCTCAGCCCTCTGAGTGCCAGGGTTACACATGTGCACCCCTGAACTGCCTTGTTTGGTTTCTCGGCAGTGTTACTTTTGTCAATAGGATTATGTGTCTGTAATTGGGGTCGGGAGCCCAGGGCTGTGGCTATGCTACCAGGCAAGCACTTGCCACCGAGCCACATGCCCATCCTTTATTTCTTATAGAAAGCCATCACAAAATGAATTCGGCTAGTAGAATATACTTCCACGCAAGGGTACAGTATAGCATGGTCACCCTTCCCATGTGGACACCTGGTGGGCTGTTTCTCTGTGGCTCAGTCTGGGTCCACTGTGGGCAGGGGGGAGTCCTGAGGGGTCACCTGGGTGAGCAATGCGGACAGATGCTGCTCCCTGCTTCTCCTCGGCCTCTCCAGCCCTGGCTACCCCCTTCCAGGGCCATCTGCTATGGCTTGTCCCGTGTGGTGGGCCTTGCTTGCCTTGGTCATGCTTGCCACAGCAGATGGGGTGCTGAGGTGCCAGGCCCCCACACCATAGTCCCGCTCTTGCCTGCAGGTACCCTCACCCAGGCCATCCGCAATTTTGCCAAGAGCTTGGAAGGCTGGTTGACAAATGCCATGAGCGACTTCCCACAGCAGGTCATCCAGACCAAGGTATATTGGGGCGGGGGGGGGGGGGGGGGGGGAATGGCAGCATGGCTGCGAGGAGTGGAACTTGATACTGATGGATTCTAGCAGCCTTTCCTGTGTGCAGAGGCTGGCTGCGCGCTCAGGAAGAGCTCCAGGGGCAGGGGCAGGGCCGGGACAGAACTCAGCAGATGTGACTTGGCTAGGCCAGAACAGATACGGCCTTCACCCTCCCTGTTCCTTGAGTCTTGGAGACACATGAGAAATTCTAAGTGTGAAAATGTGGGGTCTGGGCTGGGAAGGTGGCTTAGTGGTAGAGTGCTTGCCTAGCATGCATGAAGTCCTGGGTTCAATTCCTCAGTACCACATAAACAGAAAATGCCAGAAGTGGCGCTGTGGCTCAAGTGGTAGAGTGCTAGCCTTGAACAAAAGAAGCCCAGGGACAGTGCCTAGGCTCTGAGTTCAAGCCCCAGGACTGGCACAAAAAAAGAAAAAGAAAAGAAGTGGGGTCTATGGGAACAAAAACGATGCCTCGTGTTCTGGCAGCAGGCAGGGTGTGTTTCTGATCTTCCCCTACAGTGCCAGCCGGTCCTCAGGCCACGCCCCCGGGGGTGGGCGGGGAGTCAGCCCTCAGGCCACGCCCCTGGCCCAGCCGGAGCACTGGGCAGCCAGGGCTGACCCCGCCTCCTGTCTCGCAGGTGGGCGTGGTCAGCGCCTTCGCCCAGACGCTGCGGCGCTATACGTCGCTCAACCACCTGGCTCAGGCAGCACGCGCCGTGCTACAGAACACGTCCCAGATCAACCAGATGCTCAGCGACCTCAATCGCGTGGACTTCGCCAACGTGCAGGTGACCTCGGCGGGCCGCCTGGGCACCAGACCGCCCCCCCATCCCCGCCCTCCAGCCCAGGCATCCACCGACCCCGCCCCACCCACAAGCCCAGCCCACCCCAGTCTGGGAGACAGGAAGCCTCCCTGCCCACGCTGCCCCTAGGGCGCCCAACTTCCTGGACCTCACACCACGTTCCTGGCCGTTTTCATGGCTCTTTTCTAGGCTCAGAAAAGTAGCAGGGACAGGCCTGGAGAGGTGGCTCACACCTGCAAACCCAGAACTGGGAGGCAGATATTGGGACCATAGTGGTTTGAGGCCAGCCCTGTGTAGGAAACTAATGAGACCCCATTCAGCCAATAAAATCACTAACCCTTGGTGACTGTGCCTGACATCCCAGCTACATGGGAGGCCAGGGTGTGAGGATTGCAGTCCAGGATGCGCCGGGCAAAAACACGAGCCCCTACTCCTACCTAAAAAAGTAAACTGAGCCGGCACCGGTGGCTCACCCCTGTAATCCTAGCTACTCAGGAGGCTGAGATCTGAGGATCGCGGTTCAAAGCCAGCCAGGGCAGGAAAGTCCATGAGACTCTTATCTCCAATAAACCACCAGAAAACAAGAAGTACCCCTGTGGCTCAAGCAGTAGAGACTTGCCTTGAGCTGGGCCCAGGCCCAGAGTTTGAAAAAAATAAATAAATAAACTGAAACCAAAAGGGCTGGAAGTGGGGCTCATTAGATAGAGCATCTACCTGGAAAGCACAAAACCCTGAGTTCAAACTCCAGTACCATCACGAAAGTCAAAAAGAAAAGTAGTTCAGGCACACAGTAGGTGGTTGGCCTTGCCTAGGCCTCTTTCCAGACCTGAGTGGCTCATCCATTAAGTACTAGCCAGGCAGGCATGGAAGTGCACACATATAATCCAAGCTACTTGGAAGAAGAAGTAGCACTCTAGGCCAGCCTGAGGAAAAAAAATTCTCTTGTCTCAACAAAGAAAATATGAGCCTGGTGCCAGGGGCTTACTCCTGTAACACCAGCTGCTCAACAGGCTGGGATCTGAGGATGCTGTTCAAAGGCAGCTCAGGAAGGAAAGTCCGTGAGACTCTTCTCTCCAACTAATCATCAGAAAAACCAGAAGTGGAGCTGTGGCAGCATAGTAGAGTGTTAACCTTGAACACAAAAGTTCAGGAACAGTGCCCAGGTCCTGAGTTGAAGGCCCAGGACTGGCACACACACAAAAACCCCCAAACACACAAAAGGCTGGGGTTTGGCTCTTGATGAGATGGAGGGAGGGGCAGGAACACAGAAGGTAGGATCACAGCAGGTGCAGCATGAGCCACGCTGAAGGCTGGGTCCCTGTGGCTCTATCCTAGGCTTGCCCAGGTCTCACAGGCCATCCTCCTTCTGCAGGAGCAGGCCTCATGGGTGTGCCAGTGCGAGGAGAGCGTGGTGCAGAGGCTGGAGCAGGACTTCAAGCTGACCCTGCAGCAGCAGAGCTCGCTGGAGCAGTGGGCCAGCTGGCTGGACAATGTGGTCACACAGGTGCTCAAGCAACATGTGGGTAGCCCCAGCTTTCCCAAGGCCGCCCGCCAGTTCCTGCTGAAGTGGTCCTTCTACAGGTAAGTCCCTCGGAGCAGCTCTCCCAGGGTGACAGTAAACACGTTTCTCAAAGTCCTCAGGGACTGGTAGCTCAGTAGCCAGTGCTTGCCCAGTACATGGGGGGCTCTGGGTTCCGCCCCAGGCACCGAAAGAAATAACGTTTAAAATTTTAAACATTGAGATCATAGCTGGAGGTGTGGCTCAATGGTAGACCATCAGCCTAGCAAGGGTGAGGCCTTGAGTTCAAATCCCCAGTACCACCAAAAACAACCAGCAAAACATGATTTGCCAGGCACCGATGGCTCATGCCTGTAATCCTAGCTATTCAGGAGGCTGAGATCTGAAGGTCCATGTTCAATGCCAGGTTGAATAGAAAAGTCCTCAGGAGGGGCTGGGAAGGTGGCCCAGTAGTAGAGTGCTAGCCTTGTATGCATGATGCCCTGGGTTTGATTCCTCAGCACCACAGAAGCAGAAAAAGCTGTGGCTCAAGTGATAGAGAGCTAGCCTTGAGCTGAAGAGCTGAGGGACAGCGCCCAGGCCCAGAGTTCAAGACCCATGACCGACATACACACACACACACACACACACACACACACACACACA